ACACACACACACACACATACGCTTACACACACTGATTCCTGTCCATACTTTGGGGGACAAATGAGATGGAGATAGTGAGGCTATTTATGGGGGTTGCATGTGTGTGTCACAGAAAGAGAGATCTTGACTGAGAGTCGTTTTTATTCAAAGTGGCCAAATCTGCTCAATCAGAGGGAAGAGGGAGGACGCTGGAGTAGCTATCACATATCTGATGCGCAGATCTGGTGTACGTGGACCAGACAGCTCACTTACCACCCCCCTAATTGCTATGTGAGATCCTATCCTACCTGACAGAGTTTCCCTTGTCAACTTCCATTCATGCCAGCTCCGTTAAGCCGCGTGCAAGGAGATAGCCACTGAATAATACATGGGGGGCATTAAGCCTGACTTCAGATGGCACAGAGCATGTACAGATGCACGATGACAAAGTAGACTGTGGCTCAAAACAAGAGCAAGAGCCAGATTTAGAGATGATATACTGCGAGGAATAGGAACAGTCAATATAAAATGGCAGAAGAAGGTAAAAAGATAAAGACATGAGTGTTAACTTAATATTTCTATCTACGCTGATACTGTCATAAGCAGAGGAGAGTCAGTGTGCTGTCGCCATGCCAACCGGTGGCAAAACTAGTGAGTCTTTTCGGGCGTGACAGATGAAAATAATCTTTTCTTTATAGAATGGGACAAGACATCAAGCAGCAGAGCCTCCTCCTGCGCTGAGTGGAACCAGAGCACTGGGTGATATTACCAATTCCTGTAAGTCTGCGGGAGGCTGCTGTCATTGGCAGGCCATGCGAATAAAATCGGCACTAAAAAGCTCATAAAGAAGAGAGCCACTCTGTTAGTCCCTGATACATGCGGCAGTATATTTGGTGTTGAAGGAACCTCACAAAGGCGTTCACAGAGCCGGCATTGGAAAATTCATGAGCTCAGCCTCCCGTGATCTCAGCAGGCGCTAAACATCACTGATTGCTGCCAAGGACTGCGGCCAAAATCGAAGTGGCCATTCATTCTTAATAAAAAGAACTGAGACACTATTGAAAGAGGATGAGAATGTGCTACTGGATGTTGCAAAGAGGCCATTTGCTTCATATAGGTCAAGATACTCATTCATTAGTCTAATGAGGAAATAATTACTTCAGCTAAATAGATGTAAAGTTGATAAAAATGATGAATCTGACGATTAGAATCAGTCGTGTAGAAGCAAACAGAGCAGACAGTTCCCTATGATGAAGTTATGGGCTTTAATGAGTCTGCAGAAGTTAACGATGGCAAGGTGTTTGGATTTGCTGCTGCATTATGAGCATTTGAGCAGCTCTCTAATTGAAAGTGAATAATGCAGTAATTTCTTCATTGCCTTGTAACAATAAAAGCACCCAACATCTGTGAGGCCTTCGTGTTGTCAAACCAATTAGAGGCGGCTCCGTGCTAACACAGCACCCCGGATATGCAAGCTATAAAAGCCTGTGCATAATAAGGCAGAAGAGAAATTGTGTGTCTTTGTAATTGAGTTGAAGGCACCGACTGTGATTAATGTGTTTAAGCTCAGCTCGGGCTGTTGAGTGCAACGGCACTGCAGGTACCATAAACACACAGTCAGCATATGTAGACACTCACATTGTATAAAAAGTGTGTGAACGTAACAGCAGCCCAGCAGCATAGCTAATGAAGGAAGGGAGACAGGCTGATATCTCAGACAGACACTCAATAACCCATGATGCTTTAAGGCTCTGGGATCACAAAGCATTGCAGTACACAGATTGCAGCTGGCACTGCGTAACATATTGTGGGGCTATGCAAGAATACCCAACAAAAGGAATCATTTGACAAAAAATTGTCTGTGTGTACAAAATCTGTGCTTGAGTGGATATATACATATTTCAGTTCTGGGTGCTGAATTGCCCTGACTGAAATGTTAGACATGCTCACAGTCGTTATGACTTAAGTCAAACTCAGTAAACAGAGTTTGTTTAGAGGAGACTCAAAACTGACCTTGTGCTGGCGTACAAAATAACATTTTTTTAGATGACTGAATCTGGGAAGCACTAAGAGGTCCAACAAAGAGGAACTCACCTAAAATGTGTGGCCATAAAAGCTCTACAACACCCTCAACAGCTCACCAGCTCACATTCCTGCTCAATTAAACTGGCATCTTATTATTTCCTCCGTATCCTTTGGGAAGCTCTATTAGCACCTGGCTAATACATTTTCCGAAAAACCCATTTCTGAATTTGTCACCTCCGTCCACGGAAGAGTTTTGCCATGCTGCTGCAGTAGACTCTTAGTCAAGAGCTAAGCTAAATGCTAATGTCAGCATGCTAACATGCTCAAATGAAATTATGAGCTAAGCAGGTATAACTATATCACGTTTACCCTTTAGCACTAAACTAAAGTACAGCTGAGGCTGATGGAAAGGCCATAGGTTTTGAAGATATTTGCAGGGGCGGATCTAGAGGGGTCAGTGGCCAACCCTAAAAAAACCCTGACCACCCCAATTTAGTGTCAAATGCTGTTACATTTTAACACACACACAATTTAGATACATTTTTAAAATAACATGTTAAAAAACTGAAATTATACCAATGCTATGACCCCTTCAAGTTAAATGAAAAAAAGAAAGAATGTCTGAAGATTTGGAAATAAAACCATGTTTTTGAGTTCAGATATGTTCATTTGGGGTCCAATATTGATATATGTGATTGTTTACAATGGTCAGCATATATTTATACCACCTCTTAACGTCTCCACGCCGCCCTTTTGCCAGCCCATGACTATTTCTCTAGATCCACCTCTGGATGATGGCACTAGATAAAAGTCAATCCATTCAGTAGTTGTTGAGCTATTTTAGTCTGGACCAAAGTGGTGGACTGACCATGCTATCCCTAGAGCCATGCTGCAGGATAGCTAAAAACAAACAGCTTCAAACAACATTTTTGAGCTTTACATTCTTTTCAGTGCACCTAGAGCTGATATAACCCATCCAGCTCTATTAACTCAAGCTCCTTTTGAGTGGATGGATTTAAAGGTCCAGTGTTTAACAATTAGGAGGCTCTATTGGCAGAAATGGAATATAATATTCATGTGTTTTATGTGTATAATCACCTGAATATAGAAATCATTATATTTTTATCTACAGAAGCCGCGGGTCGGTCTCCTTGGTTTCTACAGTAGCCCAGAATGGGCAAACCAAACACTAGCTCTAGATAGGACCTTTCACTTTTCACAGTTCACAGCCAACCATCATTCCCAGGTTATCAAATACAAACGTAAGCGGTGTACAATTAGTTGCAATCTGCAGCTTCACCGCTAGACGACACTAAATCCTCCACATTGGTCCTTCAAAGAAAGGAAATTGATTGATGAGTGGTGGGAGTTGTAGTGGTACCTCAATCAACTTCCCCTTTGTTTTTGCAGGAATTCTTATGGGTATGGACGCAATAATACTCCTGACAAACTAACAATGGAATGACATCCTCTGCTGAATCACAGGAAAAATGAATAATGCCAAAACTTCAGAGACAAAAACCAGGAAACATTCTCCCAGGCCCACTTAACCACTACACCACTCTCAATCATTCAGACACTCTTCAGGAGAAGAGCTGTCATACGTTCCATCATGTTCTCAACAGAAGCACCCTGAAAGAGGCAGAGTCATGAATAAATCATATATGTCCTGGCCTTTACTATTGGCACTCCATTATGTGGAAATTGCATTTGTTTAATAATACAGAGTGATGGTATTTTTGATATACACTTCAGATACTGGACTGGTATGCACAGTTAAAGCTTGGACTGGATGGGCTCCTAAATCCTGCCATGAGAAGGTGATGCTAGAGTATGAAGAAAAAAATATATGCTGGAGATCCTACAAACACACTAATTAAACATATTCCAGTGGAGGCCTGTGGAGAAGACAACCTACTATCTTTATCACAGAGAGCCAAATTACCTGACTGCTACAGAATATACCTCCTGCATACTAACAATAGCATTAAATAAGCATTACTCGAATTCTTGGATAAATCAAGAGGAACACACACTGACACTGCCACCACATTTGAATGTCCTCACTCCTGGGGGTCATTTACTCAGCTCTTCAATTATTTATTTGTAAATTTAGTATCACTCCAGATCTCTCTTGGGGACAAAATTATACTCTCAGCAGGGAATCAAACCTCCGGCTATAATGGGTTTGGTATTCATCAGCACTCGTGCCAATGGCAATTAGGAACGTAATGGCTCCCAGGCCTAAAAAAACCCCCACCACACCACAATGTACGCCGGGCGGAGACGCTCAACAAGCTGTGTAGCATATAGATTTTGTCAAGGTGTCAGCTGAACTATGCGTTGCTTTAAAGCTCATGCCACGACAATAGGCCTTTTCAAGAACAGGCCTATGGTTTTCCTGTTATAAGATGACACTAGTGTCATTAGCATGTGCTAGAAATGCTTCAGAAACCAAAAGGATGGCCATCTTGACTTTGAAGTAGACTGTAATTTTTAATCCCCTCCAGCTAAAGAAATGGTAATGTGCTGTTTGTGGGCTATCAGTTTCCAGCTAGCGTGTGCCAGCCCCTTATTACCAAATAGGATGACAGTTTAATGAGCCCCTTGCTTGGTGTCAGCAACACATTGTGAAATTGCGCCTGCTGCCATATTGTGTGCGCCCACTTGAGCATTTGAGCAAGCCGCACAACCAATCATTAACTTGCCGTCTCTTCCCACATTTGTGACGTGTTACTCACCTGATTCCCGTTCCTTTGTTTAGCCTGAGCATTTGCATGTCACTGGTTTCCCAGCCTCCGTGTCCCTAAGAGCTGCATTATTCTATGTGAGGAACGCAAGTGTATTTAGGATGCTGGGGTGAACTTGAACATGTCTTTGGTGGTTGTCAGGGGAGAGATTAATGCTATCCCTTGCTATTTAGCAAGTCAAGGTGTTTGGGGCTGTATTTCAGCAGCAAAAATCAGGCAGGTGACTGAGTTTCTTATTCTCATAGGTGAAAGGTAAAGGAAAATAATATATTTTGCAAGTAAAATAAATTGGTTTCTACAACAATAATATAAAATCATGGACCTTACAACAGAAATATCTATATAAGTCCATGTATTACCATAAACCCAATAACAGCTCAGCCTGACGGCAACAATGAAAGGGTGCCCCCTAGTGACAGCAGAGGGTGCATTCAAGACAAGACAATAGGTCGGCACTGATGGTGTTGCTGCAGCCACAGGCCTTAATGATATACATAACAGCGTATGTTAGACGGCTGATTGCACGCCTTGGGGTTGCAGCAGGAGCCCCGTCCAGAGCTCAAGTCTCTGGTCTTTCACTACCCGCTCTGCTCTCGTCACTTCACCGCTCCCCTTCCCTTTCTGCGCTCCCGTCTCAGTGCCTCAGAGAGTTAAGTAAGTGACCTTTTTTAGAATTCTCCCTGTGACTGATGGACTAGAGAGAGTAGCACTGCAGGTGGTGCTGTCAAAATCAAATCCATTTATCTCTCTGCCAGTGCCAGGAGGCCAAACCAATCTAACCCCCTCCGCCCCCAATAAAAAGCAAGCCCCTTCTTTAAGCAGAATTCAGATCTCTTCTAGTTGGAGAGCATGCAAGCGCTGATACATCATGTCCACACTGAGTGGATTGGAGGTAATTGGCTACTTCACACAATCCAAAGCTCATTTCCCCTGCACTCCCCACCCCATCACCCCTCACCCTCCTCTTAACAACTGCCAGTCCCGCTGGTAACTCATTTGATGCCAAGTCCCCACCGACAGCAGATCACTTCTCCTTCATTTGGGAGAAAAGTCATCGTCCATTGATGTCTTCCCAGCATGGAGCAACATCAAGAGAGCTCTCATGTTTCACATTTAAATTGATATTTGAAAGCTGTATTCAAAGAGTAAGAGAGGTACCTTTCAAAATTACAACAAACGTTTCCTGGTCTCAGATGGTAGGTGAGTGTTCTTTTAGATAACATAGATTTAATTAAATCTTTTTAACATAGTTATTCAAAGCTGGAGTAATCAATATTTTTATATTAAGAATGGCACAAATGACTATGTGCAAGGTGAAAGGGGTCACTCGTAGTGATGAATCCACAGAGAATTATTACTGCCTTAGCTCTACGAGAGAGCGTTGTAGCATCTTTCAGCTCATTGTTCTGGTTTTACAGCCAGCAACTTGATTTGCTTCACTCTTATTGCTCTCATCAGTGTTGTTTCCAGATGCAACAGGCAGCTGGAAACAAAAGCAAAAAAACACAGTGTACACTACTGGCCCAGCACCAAATGGCATACAGACACAGTAACTACTAGCTGGTGAATATAGTGGACTATTTAGTTGCTTAAGAGCCAGATGTTTCCCTCATGCAACCAAAAATAGAGCTAAAAGCAAAGTGAATATTGGAATTACATTCACAGGTGGCCAGAAACACGACTTCAAGTAAATGATAACACCATCGACATGTCAACTTAAAAGGTGTATATGTCAGTGTTGTGTTTACAGCTTGTTTGCCCCCAAATCAGTTCAATGAAGATTTAAAGGTGCAAAGATCAGTTATTGATTGCCCCAAAAACGGCTAGAAAGTTAGGCTGCTGTTTGGCATGGGCATATAAAACAGCACACCACTATCATTTTGACCATTTCTGTCATGATTCTCTGGGAAAGGGATCAACTATAGATAATTATGCTGAGAAGAATTATTACCTTAATTACATGTGTTAAAACAGCATAAAAGTATAAATCTGATAATGTAAACAAGCATAAAAAGTGTAAAAATAAATGATTAAAATGTAATTTTACGTGACCTCACCATAATGACTAGACTCGAGGAAGTTGCAGTACCAAATATAACGTCTCATAAAACTCCAAATGTGGGTTTTTGTATAGATTAAACAAACAAGATATAACTTCTTTATTTGTGAGCTTTAGAGGTGTCCGTGGGCAGATTTTGTTTTATTTGGACAGGCTAGCTGTTTCCAGTCTTTATTTTAAGGTAAGCTAACCTATTAGGGTGCTAGCGGTGGCTTCATATCTAACGGACCGATAAAGAGTGGTATCTATCTTCTCCTCAGCATGTCAAACTATCCATTTAAGTTATGTAAATGTAACTACAAATATCTTTAAAGCTGTTGATAGCCATTACTGAGAATAGTTTGTGCCCTTAGAAAGTCTTTATTACAATAATGGGGATGATTTGTTGCTTTCAGCTCTATCGTATTGCCCACAGCAGCCCAGCTTCTCCTCTGGGATGAAGGCAGTACATGTTATCTTGATGTAGACTGGCCTCAGTGACTCACCGTGCTGGGCCTCCTTCTGCTCCAGTTCCTGCCTGAGCTGCTGCCGCTGCTCCTTCATCCTGGCCAGCTCCTGGCTGCTCCCCGAGCTGAGGCTGTGGAGCCTCTTGGCCAGAGCCTCCAGCCGATCGCGCTCCAGGTACACCGCCTTCATCTCAGCCTTCAGCTCCTTGGCACTGCTGAAGTCATTACCTGCACCGGCGCACCACAGGAGGACATTAAGCCTTACACCACCCATTAATGAGCGCCTCGATCATTAATAGCGTCATTACGTGAGGCTAATGGTGGGCGATTCAAGTAAATGAGGTAAATAAAAGAAAAGTGAAGGAAGGGTTGTATTGGGGTGTGGTTGAGTTACCTGAGATGGCTGCCAGCTTGGCTTCATGCAGTGCCAAAAGCTGAGTTTCAGTCTCGCTGACTTTCCTCCTCAGGCTGCTGCCCAGCCTCTGACTCATGACCACCTGGGGAAAAGAAGGAGAAGAAGAAGAGGAGGAGAGAAAAGTGTGGGGGGAGGGAGGGTGGTAACTAACAAAACCTTTGCAGACACATGGATCCCACAGGATGCATAGCTCATTTCCAATTCCGCTTTCATTTTCTTTTTGACACTCATTCTTACAAGACCTTACAGATTCATTTCCGTCCTTCTGTGTTCGCCCTGCTTTGAATACACAGTAGAGCATCAACGCCGGTGTGTTACCTTGTCTATAACCTTTAGAAAGAAAGAGAGTGTGTCTCCTTTCACGTGGACAGACAGGGAAATGTGAAATCTCCATAAAAGATGCTATTAGAATGTCAGAGAGGAAAAAGGCCCTGAATGTCACAGACCTGATGGGGATTCAGCACCTCAGCTCTGAAGTATTCACAGAGGAGTTGATGGCTTCAGATACAGCCTGCCTGGCCCCCCTCTGCCCTCACTTTGCCCTTTAAACCTCTGTTCTTTCCAATGTATTCACTTTGAGTTACAGCCAGATACAATCCCCATCATGCGCTTCCTTCTTTTGAGGAACTATTTTCATCACTCAAAGGGATGTAGAGTCGGATTTTCTGACGCATTTTCTTCTTGAATCTGACACAGTTTTGTGCAACACTTTGAAAGGGCTGTCAAATAGGTTGGTATGTCTGAGGCAGAACATCTCCAGGGAGTTTTCTTCCAACAGAAAATGTAGAAAACAGTTTTTTGAAAACAGGCTTGCATAATTTTATTTCACACATTACATGAACTGGAAACTGCTCTGGAGTGCTTTTCAAACTGTAGAAATTCTGACATTGGTGATTAAATTTCAAACCATCGTGCTATTTGTCAATTTTGAAAAAGTCAATAGAGAAGTGAAAGTTACTTTCATGCCAGGCAATCATTTTGTCACAGCAGGTGTGCCATTTTCCACATGGTGGATACCTCACATAGGAACAAAACTTTTCATTCCAACTTAACAAACTTGTGATTGGGCTGAAAGTGTCTCTTTGTGGACAGCCTATATATTCCTTTGAGGTGCAGTTGCAGCATCAACCAACCAGTTAATGATAGCTTTCTAAAGGACACAGTAACATTAAAGAGGTCTTTTTCAAGCCTCTTGTCCCCTGCTGTGCCTCTCTCCCTCTATCCTTAAACCACTATTTCTTACAGATTTCTGCCGCTTCTGGCTTTTTTCCAGCAGCAGAGATCCACACATAGAGATCAGTGAGAGGGAACAGCAAACCTCTGAGAAGCAAGGGGGAACTCCAGAGACACACAGCACATACAAAGGGATGCAAGCAAAGCCTTTCACACATAGGAATACACCAGTGACACGCATAGAAAACCCACTAAAGCCATGCTAGCGAAACAGATATTTCACATACGTAGTACACATATATCTATGGATTTTACTGACCATTGTCAGCAAAATAACAACTACAACCATTAAATCACTCTAAATTCCAAACTTTACTTATTTAGTTGCTTATTTCTCATCAGAAACAGACACAAATATCCTACAGTTGTTTCAAAACGGCATTTCTTGCATGACTCAACTCGACTATGGAGAGTTCACTGCTATGTCAAATAGAAATAAGCACATGAATACAGACACTTACATTTTATATGCATATATAACACTCTGGAGCCTGTACACAGTACATACTTTCTATTTGGACTACTCATTAGATCTTCATATACATTTAGTTATTGTTGACATGCTGGGGGAGGCTGAGCTGTAATGGACTAAATCAGGGTCAGAGGAACAGTGGCTTACTTTAGCAGTAGCTTCCTTGATGGACAGATTCAGTGCCTGCGCCTGCTCCTGGAGTCTACAAAAAGGAAATGAAAATGTTAGTGCAGCACAGAAAGTAATTTTTTATTTTATTTTGAGGGCTTCAAGTGAAATCAATAAATGTCAAAGAGAGGGCGAGAGAGGGTTCACCAGTACTCATCTGGCTGCAAAAAAAAAGTGGTTAATAAGCTATCAAGAGACTGCATTTTTTATAATGTTTATAAAGGAATGCCTTAAAAGATCTTGTCCACTGGATAAGAGCAAAAAAGTCAGCACTAATTATTCACTGATAAGTCTACATCCTTCCACCCGCAGTGGATACTGTCTAGTAGGACATAAAAGGCTGATTTAGACTGATATTGTGTGCAAACATGAAAGCATGTGAGCTTTGTGGCCTTTGTGAGAACCAAAAGTCAAACCAGTGATGTTTAGGCATTTCTGATTAATTCAAAGGTCCAGTGTTTTTTAGGATTCCGGAGAATTTTTGCATTTTCGTTATCTTAGAATGAGCTGTTTTTTATCTTACTGCCTCCTTCAATGGAATGACAATCAAAAATGTTACAGATGTCAGCTAGAAATACATTATGTCTTGTTTGTTGGTACAAAATGGAAGAGTAAAAATTACAATCTGTAGTTTTATTAGGAGATAATTTCTTGGCTGGTTGCAGTGATCTCCTACCTGCTTTGTTTTGTATTGAACAAATTGAACTTTTCCAGTTCATACAGGTGTTAAGCACTGAGAAGTCCTGCCTGTTGTTCATTCTCCAGTAACTGTTCTTGCCTGTAATTAATAATTTCTAAATGCAAACTGAGATACTACTGTTTCTAAAAGCTCTTTTTAAAAATTATTTTTGTGTTCAAGAGGATAAAACTCTTGGGAAAGCATGAAAACTATTCTGTGAGAGGATTTGTTTCTTACATAAATCTGTCATTTCAAACTGATCTGTCAAATACAATATACAGCTGACCTAGATTTATATTGATCTTACAATGATGGCAACCTAAATTTTCATGATAACAAAAACAGAAAATATAGATTTAATTTATTAGTTGTCATTTACTGTCTAGGTGAATATCTCAGATATCAAGGGTAAACATATCATCAGTAATGTAATTACTGTGCATGTGTGTAAACATGCAAACAGGACGAACCATTAAGGTCACATTATTTGGTGACGGAGATATAAATCAATTAGTAGATGGAGAAAAAAATGAGCATAAAATCCATTATCCACAACACAGTCACCTTGAGACAGTCCCAATCGTCTCATATCACAAAAATCAGTATGCCCTTTTCATGTTATTCAAGCTGATATTCAGGGTGAGTCAGAGTAAAATGTTGTCTCTGAACATCAGTATAACGGCACCTTCTTTTTTTAGGGATGCAGCTACTCTGGATAGATTTCTTTAATCCAGTACCCGTAAGGAAACCTTGACACGAGAAATAAAATGCCCTGTGTTATTTGGAAAGGGAACTGCGACACAATGACCCAAAGCACGCCACCCGGAGATGTGCAGCTGAATATCCAATCTGAGGTTGCAATTTCAATCAGTAGCGGGTATAAACGCGTTCCAGTTGGGGTGAGAATATGTCAGATATCAAATTATGCCAGTGATGGTGGGTCACGCCATCGAGAAGGCGATAAGTACAATTTACATGTCTTTCTAACGAGTGGCAAGACAGAGAGGCTTTCCATAGTGCTCCCTCTCAAGCTATTAACTTCAGAGGATATGATGCAAAGTAATCATTTGCATCTGAGAAAAACCATTAAAATTCAAAGCAAGTTCAAGCAGGTGTGAGAGAAGAGGATTGAGGGCACAGGGGATGCGGGGAATAAAGAAAAAGTAGTTTGGCTGCTTGATAGATCCTCTCTGAAGCTGAAAATAAATAAATCATTCCTCATAAAGTGGTACAAATTATTGGATTGCATTACATTCATTTGGCAGGCTCTTTTGTCCAATTACAATAAGCGCATTCAACCTTCATAGTCACGAGAGCTATATTCTTGTATGTAAAAATACTACATCTCTATTTCTTTCTTCAGTTGTCAAGCTCTTCCGTGCAGTTATTGGAGATGTTAATTGGGTTGAAACACGATGGTACTCAGTTGTACTTTCTTGGCACGAGATAAGACGATCCTGCTGCCAGATTTATTCAAAATGCCACTTTGTTTGTCTGAGGAATGAATGAAGCTGGGAGGCAAAGATTTAGTGAAATAGAGAATCTGCACTGACACATTCTCTTCCAAACGAGCCAATTTAATGATAAGAAAATACGTGCCATGATACAGGGAAACATTCATGGACTGATGGTTGTTGTTGTGTCACTGCCACTCACGGCTCTCTAGCAGCCCCAACTGGTGACTGACAGCACTGCTGGGACTGTAAGAACGATCCACAGATTGCATGATAAGGTTTAGTGCTTGTTAACCTTATGCTAAGCTAATTTCTTATGTTAAATACACAAATGGATCAGAAAACTGCATTTTAAATGGAAACGTTTTTCTTTTACAGCTGTTCTCTGACACTGCTGCCACGATGATAAATGAACAGAGAGAGAGAGAGAGAGAGAGAGAGAGAGGGGGCAACCCACTAAAAACAAAACATGACTTTCAGTTGTTGTCCAGTTATTTGAGACATCTGATGCTTTGTATTCAACAGAGCTTTTTTTAAATTTACTGATAAATATTTCTAAATTCTTCTATATTATCATAATATTAAAAGTCTCTAATATGTCTCTCTTTTATGGTAAACTCAGGTAAAATCAGGAACATAAGAAGGGCAGCTATATCTTAAAAATTCTGATACCTGGTTGAAATGTAACCCTCCAAGTCTAGGACAGTGGCTGGACTTGTTGAGGGAATATATTCCATAGAAAAACATCTATAAACACTAGACCTATGTTATATATTTTGTCGGGTTGTGTACTTGTGTTCCAACAATGTTCAAACCCAGAGAAATCTGTCATTTTATTCCAGTAACAGTGCATTTTACCAGTCGCCCATCTATGGCGTAATATCTACTTTGTTCATGCATCAGCTTTGTGGTTGTCATACATTTATTTTTTATCCAGTTTTAAGCCATGTTTTTCCCATACACTTTTTAGATCTTGGTGGTTTTTAACTATATATTTTAATCCGATGAAGATTTTAGTCATCGGAAGTCCGGATCGTAAGTTATCTTGACAGAACACCCGGAACGCTAAACAGCCTTTTTAAGGTGAAACTGCTTTATTCAGTGTTGTGATGCAGTGATGCATGCAATGTTTAAAGAACTGGTCATTAATAATTGATAATACAAATGTTTGAGTTTCTTTTTCGCTGCACAAACAAATGCAGTGATAGAGGGAAAGTTGTCGTTGTTGATGCTTGTATAGTTGTTGCATTTGTTTGCTGTTTGATAAACGTAAAGATTTCTAAGTTTCCTGTCCGCTACAACCCATCAAAACCTCCCTGATCTAGACTGTGAGCGTATATGTGAGGATAGGAAGAACCATCACAACAAGGTGTAAGATGCAAACATCTAGGGTGTGAAAATGTTTCTTCACAGAACACTGTGTAGAAGTGTAATTTGACATTTACATACATTTGCACATTTTCTTAACTATGTTGATGTGTAGTGCAGAGGCACAAATGCCTTCTGGACAGCACAAGCTGTAATATGTCCAAAGATCTGCAGTAAATGTGTTTGTTTCCTCATTGACTGATCACATAAAAATGACATAAGTATATTTCCCTAAATTAAGTCCTGTGCCAAGGATCAGCCAGGTTGATTAACTCACAAGCAAGAGCTTTTATGAAGCCTAATACTTCATTAATAATGAGAAAAACAAAATAACCTGAATCTGAGAGTCTCATGCAATCATTCTAATGGGAATAAAGCATTTATATGAAATATGTTAAGAAAGAACAATAAGAAAATAAGAAAAAAACATTTGGTGAAATATTGTGCATGTGTGTGCCGCT